ATTGGAAGACAAGATTAGTCAGCTGTCAGGGTTACCACCCCAAAACCAACGTATGTACCAGTGCACCACGAACACGCAGCGCCTGTAGAGGCCACAGAGGGCATCAGATTCCCTACATCTGGAGTTACAGTTGGGAGCTGCCATGTGGGTGCTGGGACTCAAACCCAGGTCCTATGGAAGGGCTGTTATCTGCTGTGCCATCTCTCCAGTACCATGATTTTTTATGGCAAGCTTCCTGTCCCTGGGCTCATTTAATCCTCTGTCTAGGAGGGAGATGCCTCTATTTGTTAGTGATTGGGGGTAGTGTGCATGTGGGGGTGTGGAGTCAGTTTTCTTCCCCCCCCCCCCCCCTTTTTTTTTTTTTTGAGGGGAATGTTGATTTTTTCGAGACAGGGTTTCTCTGCGTAGCTTTGGAACCTGTCCTGGAACTCACTCTTGTAGACCAGGCTGGCCTCGCAATCACAGCGATCCACCTGCCTCTGCCTCCCGAGTGCTGGGATTAAAGGCGTGCGCCACCACTACCCACCTTCTCCCTACAGCTTTACATGGGTTCTGGGAATTAACTCTGGCCGCCAGGCTTTTGAGGCAAGCACCTTTACCCACTGAGCTATGTCACTGACCCCAGGTTTCTTTAATTATTTACTTTGACATTTTTGGAGACGGGCTCTCATGCGGGCTAGCCTCAAACTGTGTGGCTGAGGATGACCCTTGCTCCTTCTGCCCTGCAACTACCTCCCAAACTCTGAAGTTACAGGCATGCTCCACCACTGTAGGCTGTTATTTATTTTGAGATAAAGTCTTGCTTTGTAGCCCAGACTTACCTAGAATTCACAGTCCTCTTGCCTTAGCCTGGGATAAGGTGCTGGGATGCAGGTGAAAACCACCAGACAGCTTATGCTAGCATGGGACTCACGATGTAGCCCAGGATAGCTTTGAACTTGCAATCTCCCTGCCTCAGCTTCCTGAGTGTTACGATTTCAGGCATGCACCACCATGATGACAACTATGGCCCTGTTATCGTTATCACCATGCTTATTTTACATAAGAAATAGAGGCTTAGCTGGGTGGTGGTGGCTCCAGCCTTTAATCCCAGCACTCGGGAGGCAGAGGCAGGAGGATCTCTGTGAGTTCGAGACCAGCCTGGTCTACAGAGTGAGTTCCAGGACAGCCATGGTAACACAGAGAAACAAACCCTGTCTTGAGAAGCCACAAAAACAAAATGAAAGGTAATAGAGGCTTAGAAAGAGGAAGTGTGGTTTGAAACTCGGCCAGTGTCACCCAAGAGTTCTACTGTCACAATGGCTATACTCCGCCTTCATGGATCAGTTTGTGTCTTCCCTAGTTTTGAGCCCAGGGATGGGGAGGGAAGGCTAGATGGGTACACAGAGGTCAGCTGGTAGTCCTGCCTTTGGCCTTGGCCTACCCTCCTTACCGATGCTCCTCAGTCGTTGGAACCAGCGGGCTGTGCGGGGGAAGTGACTGAAGAAGATTGGACTGGGCGCTCCCAGGAGGTCAAGAAGAACAAAGAGCTCCTGGGGGAAGGAGTCCAGGGCTGGAGTCTGCTGAGTCTGACCTATGCTACTGACCGTACCCTTCCCCCTCCCTGCCCCCGGCTCCAGAGCCCAGAGGGATGGATCTTACAATAGCCTGGATCCTAGTGGGGCCGGGGCTGTGTGGGATTAGCTAAGTGCCGGGAGCCATAAAGCGAGTCCCGTGGTCCCCACTCTCTCAGCGCCTCCTCCCCGTCAAAGAAGATCAGCTGCAGGCTCACGGGTGCTGCCTGTGGAAACAAGCAAGCAAATCGGTGCCAACCCTTGGCATCCGGCGGCACGGCTGGGATGAGGCAGACCAAGTGGCCTCCTTAGGCAATGTGGTAACAAAGTCACCGCTGGAGCCAGAAGGGTTCAAATCCATGCTTTTGGTGGTTGTTAGATATGGCAACTTTGTTTCGTTTTGAGGTAATGTCTAGTATAACCCAAGCTGGCCTGGAACTTCCATCCTCCTGGAAATTCCTCCCTGGAATTAGAGGTGTGTAGCAAAATGCCCATTCTTATTTTTTTCCTTTTTTTTTTTTTTTTTTTTTTTTTTTTTTTTTTTTTTTTTTTGCAGTACTGGGGAATGGCTCTAGGGATGCCCATTTGCTAGACATGCACTGTACCCCCTGGCCCTCTCATTACTTTTTTTTGGGTGGACAGGGTTTCACCAAATTGCCCAGGCTACCCTTGAGCTCACTCTGTAGCCCTGGCTGGCCTTGAACTTCCCCATGTCTGGAGGATCTGAGATTACAGGCCTGTGGCACCAGGGTTGGCTCGATTTCTTCATCGACGCATGGGGTTAATAGTTCCGTTCCCAGATCACATTTGAATCCAGGTTGTAAGAACTGAATGAGTCAGCTCTCGTTATTACTTAAGCCCATTGGGCAAGACAGACAAACAGAGAGACAGACAGACCCACCCAAAAGGGAATAACTGTAGCGTGAAGGTCTATGTTCAAGCTACACTCAGCGTGGCACACAGTTCACTTCCTGTTGCCTGCGGACCAAGACGCAGAACTCTCAGCTCCTTCTCCAGCCTCTGTCTGCCCACATGCCACCACATCACCAGCCATGACATCAAAACGGACTACACCTCTGAAACTATAAGCCGCCTCAATTAAATGTTTTCCTTTATAGGAGTTGTCATGGCCATGGTGTCTCTTCACAGCACTAGAAACCCCAACTAAGCCATGCTTGTGCGCATGACTGTAATGCCAGCACTCAGGAGATGGAAGCAAGAGCGTCAGAAATTCAAGTTCATTCTTGAGTTTGATGCTAGTGTGGCCTATATGAGACCTGGCTGGGGAGAAAAAAAAAAACAAAACAAAAAAACAAAAAAACTTGTGTTTCAGTGCGTAGAGTATACGCTGGAAAATAAAGACGACAGTGGGGGTTGGAGAAAACAAGGGTGGCGGCGGGGTGTGTGGCATGTGCCTGCCACCCCACTGCTTGGAAGGGTCATGCAGAAGAACGGCTGGGTTCGGGGCTGGAGAGATGGCTCAGAGGTTAAGAGCACTGGCTGCTCTTCCAGAGGTCCTGAGTTCAATTCCCAGCAACCACATGGTGGCTCACAACCATCCGTTATGAGATCTGGTGCCCTCTTCTGGTGTGCAGATATACATGGAAGCAGAATGTTGTATACATAATAAATAAATAAAATCTAAAAAAAAAAAAGAATGGCTGGGTTCAAGGCTAGCCTGGGCTACATTCCAGTGAAACCCTATCTCAACAAAGAAAAGAATGACAGAAGCAAGTGAGGATGTGGCTAGGGACAGGATGTCCTCCCCAGTCTCACCTGCTGCTGCTGCTTGACTCTGCTCAGCATCACATCAAAGGCCTGGGCCAGCTCCAGAAGCAGGGCACAGGGCACAGCCGAGTCTGTGGCCCCCACAAAGGGAGGTGACCCAGGAGGGAAGAACTTGGAGTCATAATGGCAGGCCAGGGTGAGGTGACGGGCAGCTCCTGGGTCAAGTGTGGCCACCACGTTCCCGAAGTCCAATGGCCCCAAGGGTGTTGAGGCTGTGAAAGGGTCCAGTTCCACGTGCCAGCCTGCTGATAGCGACCGCAACGTGGTCTCCAGGAACTAATGGCAAGAGAGAGGTAGGAGGGTGGACAGGGAGGGACTGGGGAGGAGGTGGGGAGAAGGGTCTTGTGACCAAAGCCTCGCAGAGCAGTCTGGGTGATTAGAAAGTCCCACTTTGGATTAGGTTGTTCCCTTGACATAGTCTCCTGCTGAGGAACAACTGGGTGCCATGTGGGGTAATGACACCCAGTCTTTTTTTCAGGGTTTCTCTGTGTAGCTTTGGAGCCTATCCTGGAACTCGCTCTGGAGACCAGGCTGGCCTTGAACTCACAGAGATCCACCTGCCTCTGCCTCCCGGGTGCTGGGGTTAAAGGCCATGCACCACCACTGCCCAGCTCCATACCTCTTGATAGCAATAAAACTATGGCTTACTATGTAGTTCAGGCTAGCCTTCAACTTGCTGTATAGCTCAGGCTGGCCTAGAACCCCAGATCATGCTCTTCTGCCTTCTGAAAGGATTATAGGCCCAGGCTACCCATAATGCTCTCTCTCCTGTCTCCTCACGTTGATTCCTCCAAAATCACACCTAGGGTGGCCTTCCACTAACTCACTTCTACCCTCTCCATCTGTCTGTCTGTCTGTCTCTCTCCATGGTGCTGAGGACTGACTCAGGATAACACAGTCCCACACTGGTGGATGCTAGGCGGGTCTTCTCCATTGAGCCACACCCCCAACCTCACATTGGTGATTTCAAAGCAAGTGCTCTCCTGTTGAGACATGCTATGACTTCCTCTTAAAAAGCTCTCACAATGTGCCAAGCCTGTTCTAGGATCCCTATAAAGTCAGCAATGTCAGTGAAGGTCCCCATTCTGCAGGTGAGGAAACTGAGTCCCAGAGAGGTTAAGAAAGCTAGCCCAACTAAGGTAGATCCTAAATACAGTATCTGAATGGCAACGCAGCAATGCTACACCACCCATTAATGAAGCCGACCTTCTTGGATTCTATCTAGAGGTAACTGTGGGATTTGAACAAAATGTAGTAACTCCCCTGGGCTTCAATTTCCCCATCTGTATAGCAGAGATCACATTGGTTCCGACCTCACCAGACAATACATTGCCACCGTTCCTAATACAAAGTAGGCTTTTGGTGGGTGTTTTATAGTTTGGGATCTGTGCACCACTGTGAGAATCTATAGAGTATGGTTCGCACACCTCTCCCGCCCTGCTCCCCTCCCCAATCAGAGCCCCAGTCTGCCTCCTGGCTGTTCCGGGATCTTAGATGCCTGAGTTCCATTTCCTGCCAGGCTGGGGAAAGGAGTTTAAGAACTGGAAATGATGGGGCTGGAGAGATGGCTCAGAGGTTAAGAGCACCGACTGCTCTTTCAAAGGTCCTGAGTTCAATTCCCAGCAACCACACGGTGGCTCACAACCATCCGTTATCAGATCTGATGCCCTCCTCTGGTGTGCAGATAGACATGGAAGCAGAATGTTGTATACACAATAAATAAATAAAATCTTAAAAAAAAATAAAAGAGTTGGAAATAAGACCCTTTACCTTTCTCACTTGGAGATTGCCGGGGCTACCCGGGGGTCGCACAATCAGCAGGGGACGCAGGAAAGTGCCCCAGAGACGCTGCGGATC